GTGAGGTCTCTAGTGGATCTCAGGGTAAACCACCATGCTCTGTGAAGTAACAAATGTCCATCAGAGATGCCTGTGATAGACAGCAGGAATCTCTCCTTCCCTGAGAAATATGATGGGGCTAAGATTCATTGTGCATCCTGCAGGACCAGAGAGTCTGCCATCTCCTATAGGTGATCAAAGCATCATAAAAACTAGGAGGCAAGACAGCTGGCCGAACCGGAAGCGACCCTGCCTAGGAGGCGTGGAGATGTAGAGGCTCAGAGACCCAGAAGGAGGTGCCATGTCTCCAGTCTCCTCACTGCAGAATCAGGGAGCCCACCTTGAATGGCATCAGGATCCCTGGCAGCTCACACCTAGCCTTCAGATGAATTTGAATATTCAGCCTGGACGTCCCCAGAGCTGAGCATTCTCCTTCTCTTCTCTTCCAGCAAGTGCTGGCTACACAGGAAGACCCGGCTCCGCGATGCATAGCCAGGTCCTCTGCTGCATGGCCCTTTGTCTCCTGGGAGCAGGTGAGTGTGGACTTGGGGAGGGAACGCCTGCTCTTCCAGCCTGCATCTGCCCTCAGCCTTTCCGATGGTGGCAGCAGCACAGACACTCCTCTGAACTTCAATATCTTCCTCTTTTCCCACAGGTGCTGCAGGCTCTGGAATCACTCAGACCCCAAAGTACATGGTCCAAGAGGAAGGACAGCGTGTGACCCTGGAATGTGAACAGAGTTTGGGTCATGACTCCATGTACTGGTACAGACAGGACCCAGGACAGGGACTGAAGCTGGTCTACTACTCACCAATCACAAATGGTGTCCAGGAAGGGGATGCATCTGCAGGCTACAGTGCCTCTCGGGAGAAGAAGGGACACTTCCCTCTCACAGTGACAAAGACACACGGCAACCAGACAGCTCTGTACCTCTGTGCCAGCAGTTTAGCCACAGAGAAGCACACCCACCACCTCTCTGTGCATAAACATGTCCTACCTTTCCCACCCCAACCACAGGGTCTGTGTTCTGTGTTCATGCTAGGCACCTGAAGCAGCTGCTGCCCTATATAATGAACTGAGAAGAAGGCCAGGAGAAATGAAAGCACAGTGCTTTGTAGAACATGTAAATGCCCTTCATTTCCAGGAGCAGTCCAGCAGAACGAGCAGTGCAGCCCACTCAAAGCTGAAAGGACTTCCCTGGATCTTCTAGAAGCATTTCCATTGGTCAACACATACTTCTGATGTCCATCACAGCCAAATAACTAATGATAGCCTCTCTTCTCCAGGTTCAGTTACAAGAAACAAGTAGATAGTAATCTCTGAGAGCAGTTGCCATGTGATAGTCATGAAGTATATGACACATTTAGGAAATGAAGGAGTCTCCTCATCACCAAAAAGAGAAGCAAAAACATTGCTGTCTACTTGATTCGGATCAGTAGGACAAGGCAGAGCTGCCCCATAGCGTTGTCTTGCTTGCAGTCTTTAGGGAAGCCAGCTGCTAGGTCTTTCTCCTGTGAAGGGGCTGGTAGGTTCCAACCACCAACTCTGAGATTAGCAGCCTACTGCTTAACCACTGTGCCACCAGGTTCCCTTATCCTCATCACAGTTAGAAAGAAACCCTGAATTTCCACCTGAGGATTTCTTAATGCTCACCTGTAGATGTCGTGATTGACAACCGCGAGTTGTCTTGGTCTGACAACTTTGTCAGGAGCACATTAAGTGACCGTAATACCACATGTTACACAGCACACCCCTTCCCTCATGTGTGGTTGTTGCCAGCTGCCATGAAGTTGATCCTCACTCAAAGTGACCCCATGTGAAGCTGCCATTTCAAAGTCCCAGGTCTCCAGGCATCTCGTACAAATTCAGGAGATGGATTCTGAAGTCTTGAGTCCCTTCCACTATGCTTGGTTCTCTGACTGGTGAACTGGGTACGGGATGCACCATTGCAGGGGGTCACCACCAGGGGGCAGACAGGAGCACACCCCAGAAGATCCCCTGGGGTGCAGAGACTAAGGTAGAGCAGGGCCCCAATCTCTTTGTGGGAAGGTGTGGTGGGAGGATGGTACTCTTGCTTCTGCTGCTCCTGGTCCTGGGGCCCGGTACGGGGTGACCTGTGCCTAGACACCTGGGAGGGTGTGGGAGTGTGGAAATGTGGGTATGAGTGTCTATCAGAGTGTCTATGAGTGAGTGTGTTTATGAATTTATGTGTAGTGTATATGGTATATGAGTTTGCGTCTGAGTTTGTGTGTCTGAATGTGTATCTGTGTGTGTATGAATGAGTGTTTGAGAAAGAGAGAGTTTGGGGAAAGCAGTGCCTGGTGACCCCAGAAGCTGGTGCTAATCAAAGTGAGGGGCAGTGGCTGAAGGACAAAATGGGAGACATCGTTTGTTGTGACCCTGAGCAGCAGGATGGGGTGATTTCACAGAACAAATAGGTCTCTAGGGGAAGATTTGGGCTGCGAGGCTGAGGTCTCTGCCTGGGGTCATAACAGCCTCCTGGCCTGGGGTCCCTTGCCCTGTGGCCTCTGTTCCCCCAGCCCCCGGGTTCAGTGCACACGTCTCTCAGCACCCTAGCAGAGCCATCCGCAGGAGTGGCACCATGGTGGAGATGGACTGCCACGCCAAGGGCATCCAGGCCTCAACGATGCTGTGGTACCGCCAGCTCCCAGGACAGACCTTCACCCTGATTGCAGTTTCTAACCAGGGCTCAGACCCCACCTACGAGCAAGGCTTCACCAAGACCAAGTTCACCATCAACCACCCAAACCTCACGTTTTCAGCTCTGACGGTGACCAATGTGAAGGCCGAGGACAGCAGTCTCTACTTCTGTGCAGCCAGTGACACAGCACTGAGCAGACACCGGGGACCCGAGCAAGAACGTCTGCCTACTCCCCACTGTCGAGCCTGTGGGAGGGGAGCAGGGTAGGAAACCACAGCTCCCTGAGTTGAGGCACCTGTGTGTGTGAGTGTAAAGACAGACTCAGAGAGACTGTGTGAATGTGTGTATGTGCAAAGAGACAGTATCTACATGTGGATTTTCATTGTTGGCAAGTGAACTCAAGTCGGTTCCTACCCATAGCGACCCTGTATAGGGTTTCCAAGGAGCGGCTAGTGAGCTTTAACAGCTGACCTTGTGGTTCAAGCCAACCTTGCAGTCCAGCGCATTAACCTGCTGCGCCATGCCAGGACTCAATGTAAGACGCAGAAAACAGTTTCTGTAAAGGGACACTTATATGGAGATATCTTGGGAGTGAAAATGATAAAACCCAAAAAGTTATTCTGATTCTATCACATGTTAATCAAGGCAAACATGATGGGGAAAAGTCACTATAGATACCTCCCAAGACAGAGCTAAAAATCACATGTGTTTTCTGTGATGAACGTGGGCTGTGGTTCTCCAAACCTCGTCCACAAAGTCCTGACACTATGGTGGGCCTGGAGATAAAAAGAGTAGGTCAGTCAGCAGAGAGCTCCCAGCATGAACTACATGGTGTACCGATTGATGAATGAACAGGTAAGACTGGGTTCAGTAAAGGTGTTGGCTGAGCTGGTTCCTGAGAGAGGTGTCAAAGCAGAGACAAGGTAGAGGATTGCACAAGGAAGACTTTGAACCACATGACCAGAAGCCATTGAGTGAACTGTGAATGTAGCCCCTTGAAGAAAAATATTTTCCTCTGGGAAACCAAAAAAAATTACAGTGACCACCATACAAGACCACCTGGTCTTGTATGACCCAGAAGGAAATAAACAAACGACAAGGACATGCATTTAATAGACGCATGTATGATCAATAAATGGAGGAGGTGTTTAAGTTCAATGGTGACCAGGAACCTGTTAAACAAAACATAATGATATGCAAATGTATATATGTATGTATGATTATCAAAATATGAAAAGCTTGGCAGCATCAAAGTTGGCAGAGGGGAGTTTCCCCATGATGACTTAAGCATCACTGGAGGAAGCACAGTGGTAGAAATGATTTGGGAGCAATTTGACTTGATCTGATTTAGTCATTCCTAAACTCCAGAACCCAGTATCTCACTGCCAGCATGACACTCAGGAGAAACTCTCACATAAACACATGGAAGACAGGAACGGCAAGGGTCTTAAGTAACACTCTTAATGGTAACAAAACATGAACCCACGCCACGGTCTCACTGACCCAAGTGAATGATCACAGAAAGGAAGTGCTAAAATTTAGAAATAATTGCACATTTAGATCAGCCAAACTCTGGAAGAAACGTAGCAGGAGTTTATTTTGAGTGTCTCCTGGTTTAACGAGAACAGAGTACACGCTTGGATTGGATTACAGTCAATGGTGTGGCCATAGTCCCCAAGGGAATGAATGTGGGTTAGGTCCCTAAAAGTCAGCAGTTCTGAGAAAGGCAGATTTGGATGCAGCACCAGTTCTTGCTAACTGCCATGTGGACATTGCACTGCTAAGTTCAGCTAGAATGATGGCGGTGGTGATAGAAATACAAGGAAATGAGAGATTTAAAATGCATTCAGTATTCCAACCCCAGGGGCTAGATAGAGTCACTAGACAGAGAAGGGGGAGAGGTGAGTGAATTAGGAGGACCAAGATTTACTTCGATTGAGATCTGGTACATTGGGACTGAAATCTAACTGGGTATATGTAGAAATCAGTTCAAGTCATGGACTCAGAGAATTGAACAGGATGGAGGTAAACCTCGGACATTTCGTACAGCTGGAGAATGAAAATGCACATGATCCCTCCAAAGGAGAACGTCCATTGAGAAAGACAGACTCATGGGCACCCTCAACTTGAGTACAGTTGAGAAGGATGAGAAGTCAGAGCATACTGAGGAACCATCCATCAGACCAGTGACTGGACAATTGTGTAGCTAGAACACAGTTCAGCAGAGGATGCTGGAAGGGCACCATACCACGTCCAGCTCCTTCCCGACTCTATTGGGTGATGAAGATGTCTGGAGGCTGTCTCATCTGCTTGTTGTTGTTGTTGTTAGGTGCTGTGGAGTCGGTTCTGACTCATAGTGACCCTGTATGGGGTTTCTGAGGCTGTAAATCTTTACAGGAGCAGAAAGCCTCATCTTTCTCCCACAAAACAGCTGGTAGTTTTGAACTGCTGACCTTGCGGTTCTCAGCCCGATTTGTAACCACGATGCTGCCAGAGCTCCTTGTCTCACCTTTTGGAGCCATCCATTCCCACTGACCTCAGGGAAGGGAAAGGACAGGAGAGGACAGAGGGTATTTGGTGACTGTGCTGTTTGTCCAACAGGGGGCGATGCAGGTCTTTCTGTCAAATGTCCCTAACTCCTGAATGAGACACTGTAAAGAGATTTTACTGAATGGATAAGGGGATGCCAACAGGCCCTATAATAGTAGGATCTGATCTTACACTTGGAAGTCACCATAGCATATCTGATACCTGTATATCATTCATACATAACTGATGAAAAAATCCTTGAACAATTGAGCATGGCTAACTATGTGTCTGAGTCTAGGGTAGCAAGAAATTTCTCTAAAACAAACAGTGCTATGCTAGTGAACTACCCTGGAATTAAACCAGGGCCCAAAGTCTGTTTGTTGGGAAAAGAAATTCATGTACATTTACCCAGCAAGCATCTGGCCTGAGTGTGAATGAGTCTCCTTGTGCACCTGCCTGAGAAAACGATATATATGGTCAACAGGAGAATCCCTGATGGTGCTGCAGGTTAAGCACTGGGCTCCTAACTGAGTGTGCGGCTTTGATGAGCATGGCTTGGGTCAGGCACACTTAAATCCTGAAAGTGATATCTTTGCTCTTTAACGCTTTAAAGGGGTGTGTTTGTTTTTGTCTTTTCTTTGCAGCAGCAGATTTGTCTAATGCAATTCATTATTTGATTTCTCGACTGCTGCTTCCACGAATGTTGTGGATCCAAGTAAAATGAAATCCTAGACAGTGTCTCCATGTGTCATGATGTTGTTGATTGTGAGGATTTGTTTTTCTCTTTACATTGAGTTGTGATCCATACAAAAGGCTGTATTCTTTCATCTTTATCAGTAAGTGCTTCAAGTTGCCTTACCTTTAAGTAAGCAAGTTGGTGTCATCTGCATATTGCAGGTAGTTAATGATTCTTCCTTCAATCCTGATACTGTGTTATTTTTCATATTATCCAGCTTCTCAGATTATTTGCTCAATCTACACACTGAATGGAGTCCTCGTGTGCTGTTGTAGGAAAATGCACTGGACCACAAGGTTGGTTTGAACCTCAAAGCTGACGGTTTGAACTCACCAGCCATTCATCTGATGTCCTATGCAGGGTTGCTATGAGTTAGAACTGACTCGAACATCACTTAACAACAACAACAGACTGAATAAGTATGCTGAAAGGATAAAACCCTGGCTCACAGGTTTCCTGATTTTCAACCCTTTCATTATCCCTTTCTTCTGTTCTATCAACTACCTTCTGACCTATGCACAAGGTCCTTATGCACAAAATTAAGTCTTCTGGAATGCCCATTCTTTGCAATGTAACCTTATTGTTGTTGTTAAGTGCTGTCGAGTCGGTTCTGACTCATAGTGACCCTGTATAGGGTTTCCAAGGAGCAGCTGGTGAGCTTGAACTGCCGACCTTGTAATTCAAACAGTTTTGCAGTCTGGCATATTAACCCACAGCGGTTTTTGTTATAATCCACACAGTTAAATGCCATTGCATGGTCAATAAAGCACAAGTAAATATCTTTCTGTTATTTTGTTTTCAGCCAAGATCCATCTGGTGTCAGCAGTGATATACCTTGTTCCATATCCTTTTCTGAATCGGGCTTGAAGTTCTGGCAGATCCCCTCCCTGCCAATGTGCTGTTGCAAACTTTTAAAAATTATCTTCAGCAAAATTTTACTTGTGTGTAATGTCAATGATATTGCTCAAGAATTTCTTCTTTCTGTTGAGTTACATACTCCGGAATGGGCACAGACATGGATCTCTTCCAGTAAATTGGCCAGGTAGCTATCTTCCAACTTTCTCTTTAAACTAATTGTGATTGTTGTTATAAGTGTTGTCAAGTCAGTTCCAACACATAGCAACCCTGTATAGGGTTTCTGAGGAGCAGCTGGTGAGCTTGAACCACCAAATTTGCGTTCAAACAGCTTTGCAGTCTGGCGCATTAACCCACAGTGCCACACCAGGACTCCTTTACCCAAATAGACTGGTAAAATTATTGGATGCTGAATATTAATCCCAGCTGTACATATGAAACATTTTCAAATATTCCTACATTGTTGGTTGGACTATTAGTCATACATAACTGGAGAATGTTTTGTTGTTATTATACAAAGGAGATGTGTGGACTCTAAGACTCAGTCGTCACCTTCTAGGTAAGTTGTGTACATAGTTGTGTAGAAACAGGTACAATAGTGGAGTGCTGTTGGTAGTAGCTTTGTCATAGTTGTGAGGTGTCCTTGAGTTGACTCTGAGTCCAGCCTTATTTATAACAACCAAATGCTGCCTAGTCTTGTACCATCCTTACAATGATCACTACCTGAGTCCATTATTGCAGCCACTGTACCAGTTCATCTCATTGAGAACCTTGCTCTTTATCACTCACCTTCTACTTTACCAAGCATGATGTCCTTCTCCAGAGACTGGTTTCTTCTGATGACATGTCCCAAGTAAGCAAGATGAAGTCTCACCATCCTTGCTTTTAAGGAGTGTTTGGCTAGACTTCTGGAAGTCCCTGCTGTTGCTGTTATGTGTCATTGAATCAGTTCTGTCTCCTGTTAACTGTATACACAACATAAGAAAATATCACCTGGTCCTAAGGAGCTCTGGTAGCGTAGTGGTTACGAATCGGGCTGTGAACACAAGGTCAGCAGTTCGAAACTACCAGCTGTTCCACAGGAGAAAGATGAAGCATTCTGCTCCTGTAAAGACTTACAGCCTCGGAAACTCTGTACAGGGTCACTATGAGTCAGAATTGACTCCACAGCACATAACCACCACCAACCAACCACCACATCATCCTCACAGTTGTTCTTATGTTCTAGTCTACTTCTTTAGCCACTGTGCCAATCCATCTAGTTGAGTGTCTTCCTCTTCTCTGATGACCCACTACTTTACAAGCATGATGGTCTCCAGGGACTGTTCTCTTCTGACAGCAGATCCGAAGTAGCTGAGATCAAATCTCACCATCCTCACGTCTAAGGAGCTGGCTGTACTTCTTCCAAGACAGATTTGTTTGTTCTCCTGGCAGGCCATTGTATAGTCAGTATTCTTTGCCAATACTATAATTCGAAGGCATCAATTCTTCTTTGATCTCCCACATTAACTGTCCACATTTTGCATACATATGAACTGACTGAAAATACCAAGCCCTGTGTCAGGAGCTTCTTAGTCCACTAAATGACATCTTCACTCTTTAACATGTTAAAGAGGCCTCTTGCAGCAGATTTCCCCAGCAATATGCCATTTGATTTCCTGACTGCTGATTTCATAGGTGTTGGATGTGGACCCAAGCAAACTGAAAAATTTGACAACTTCAGTATTTTCTGTTTATCATGATGTTGCTTATTGGTCCATTTGTGAACATTTTTGTTTTCTTTGTACTGTGGTATAATCCGTACTGAAATATTTCGTCTTTTACTTCATCAGAAAGTGCTTCAAGTTTTCTTCACTTTTGGCAAGCAAGATTGAGTCATATGCATATCTCAGGTTATGGAAGCAACACCTGGGAAGAATTGTGGGTATTAACATCAGAATTGAGAATACATTCTACAAAACAAATACAATAGGATGCCAATTAATAGTGAAAATGAATTATCTAAAATATATACATAGACAGGAGTCCATGTCACAGACATATGCTGAATGAAGAAAAATATGAAGAAAAGTATTCAATTTAGGTAAAGTTTAAACACCTACAAAATTAAATAGTATATTTATTTAGATATTCTAACATAAGTGCTAAAAGCAGGCCTATGAACTAAACTGCAGGTTATGGTCACATGACAAGAACAATTGAATCTTACAGACAGACCTAGGGTTTAAAATTTCTCACCAAAAATCTGAGCCTAAAATGATTACTTTCTCTATATGTATTGCACATGTATAAAAGATGTTGTTTTGTATCATTTGTATTCTAGTTTTGAGTGTAAATGGACTGTTATATGATTTTATGAGTGTCACAGAAACCGTGGCTGATAGACATTGAGCTATTGGATTGACTACCTGAGATGAAATGAAGAGAAGGGAAGAGGCAGTGGACAAGTTACAAAAGCTCATCAATAAGTAATGCTTAATGGGTTTTACAAGGAGCTCTGGTAGTGTAGTGGTTATGAGTCGGACTGCTAACCTCAAGGTCAGCAGTTCAAAACTACCAGCCGTTCTGCTGAAGAACAATGAGGCTTTCTACTCTTGTAAAGATGTACAGCCTCAGAAACCCTATATAGAGTCGCTATGAATCAGAACCAACTCCACAACACACCATCATTGTCACTACCAAGTGGTTTAAAAAAAAAAAAAAGACCAAATCAAGGAAGAAAAAGGAAAGCAGGCTGACTCTCAGACTAGTTGTTTCACCTGATAAAAGACAGTCTCCCTCCCTCCACCTATGAAATGATGAGTCTCACGCCCACAGCAACTGTGAGGACTGGGGGAGGTGACCACATCACAAGTGGGTTGCTCATGGAGATGAGGAACCTTAGAGGAAAGGCCACCAGCTCTGCCTTCCCTGACCAGCTATGGGTCCCTCACTTCTCTGCCTGGTGGTCCTGTGTTTCCTGGAAGCAGGTCAGTCCTGCTGACCTTGGTGGACTCCAGTGTCAGGACTTCTGGGGCGGCAACATCTGTCTCTTCCTGGACTTTTCTCCAGCTTCTTTCTCCTTTCTTCACAGGCTCCATGGACACCGAGGTCATCCAGACCCCAGGACAGCTGGTCAAAGGAACAAAACAGAAAGCAAGGATGGAATGTGTGCCCATAAAAGGACATGATGATGTCTACTGGTACCGTCAGAAGCCGGGAGAAGAGCTCAAGTTCTTGATTCGCTTTCAGTACCAAGAAGCTTTTGATTCATCAGGAATGCCTGAGAAGAGGTTTTCAGCTAATTGTTCCAAAATCTCACCCTGCAGCATGGAGATCGAGCCCACAGAGCCAGAGGACTCAGCTGTGTACTTCTGTGCCAGCAGCCTGTCCACAGTGCTGTAGTGTCAGCTGTTCCTGGTACACAAACTCAGGAAATGTGGGCCTATGAGACTGGTGGGAAGTAACAGAAATGTGACTTCAATGAGAAGTCAAAGAACAATTCTGTAAATATTTTTTTTAAAAAACAAAACTCTTACTGTTGTTAAGTGCCATCAAGTCTGTTCCGACTCATAGTGATCCTGTGTAGGGTTTCCAATGAGCAGCTGGTGAGCTTGAACCACTGATCTTACAGTTTAAACTGACCCTGCAGTCCAGTGCATTAACCAACTGCACCACACCAGGACTCCAAATATAGCTGAGGAGGAACAGAAAAAGATGTTTAAAGCAACTGATGTTTAAACTGATGTTTAAAGGAAAGAGGATGGAAAACTGATTAAGGCTCTGCTTTTGTGTGTTTAGAAATGTGCATTCTGTGCATGCAGAAAAGGACATTTGGTAACAATTTATCCTGGATAAAAAGTTGTTTTTGTTGGTGTTAAGTGCTGTCAAATCGCTTCCGACCCATAGCAACCCTGAATAGAGTTTCTGAGGAGCAGCTGGTAAGCTTGAACTGCAGACCTTGAAGTTCAAACAGTTTTGCAGTCTGGCGTATTAACCCACAGCACCACACCAGGACTTCTGGATAAAAAGCCAACATCCATAATTATCATCTGGACATGGGGTGTGGATTCTGAAATCACTCAGGGACATGCAATGACCAGCCAGTAACTTTGCAGTTTAGGCATCTGTTTGGGTTTCTTTGGATGGTTTGGACTCATAGATCGATTCTGGCTTTTTACTCTAATTGTGTTTTCCTTTGTTCTTCAGCTTTATTTTCACATATTCTGCTTGTCTTCTATGTTTATTTGTATGTTCTGGTGTGGGAGTCCAGCTCTCA